GATGTAAATAAAAAATTTAATGAAAATATTATTAAATTATTGAAATTAATAATTTAAATAAAATAATCAAATGTAAAAAAGATTCAAAGTTCTCAGATAGAAAAGTGGCGCAAAACTGTGTTCTGACATCTTTGATAAATGCCTCGAAAAAATACTCAGAAAGAAAATGATGAAAATAAAAACTATTAATTTTAAACTTTTAAACCCGCGCTCTCTCTCTCTCGTTGCGGGGTAGTTGGCGTCCATTTCTTCTTTCTTTTAATCTTACTTTTCCCGCAAACGGGCAGCCAGGCGTTAATTCAACGGCATTGATTGCCACACGGCAATCCCCCGCCGTTTCTGTGTGCGAGAGACCGAGGGAGAGCGAGAGGGGGTGAGAGATCTCACCCTCCTCGGCTTCTCCCTTCCCGGCTCTCTTTCGCTTAGGCTCTCCTCCTAAGGAACGACGCTCCTCCATCCTTCTTTCCGCGTCTTCTTCGATCTCGCGGCAGTATTCGTTTTCTCGGCTACATTCTTGTACTCGGCTGCCTCTCCCGCACGAGTCACGAGAAACACGGTGGAAATGCTTATTTCCACGCTTCCCGATCGAGGCTCTTCATATCGTGATAGGAATAATTAATGTATCTAAACATCTTTTATCTGCGAATTATCGTATTTTCTTTGCCAATCTCACTGTATCTGGCGTTTTACTCTCAGATAAACGTGCCTCTTTACAAGTTATCGATACATTGATATAAAGATAGAAATGTCCGTCGAGTATATCCCATCGTTATAATATGAAGGACAAACGTTCAAACGCTAAAACATGGTTTTAGCCAGGTGGTTTTAATATCGCGCGAAATAAGGAGGTGAGGGAGGCAGCTTTATGGCGATGGGCGAGCCCGTCCTTGCTCTCGTTCGATGCAAACGATCGAGATAAATGGTCCAAAGGGTGTGGACTCGAGATGGACGAGAGTGTCCCTGGGGTTGCCGGCAGGGACATCGGGGGAGACACAAAGAGGGAGAGGAGACGACGGGAGAAGAAGGTAGGGGTCGAGTGCCCGGGGTCAATCTATAATAAAGCTGGCGTTATCTTGACCGGCTAGCGTGAACGAAGGCTAGAGGCTCGTAAAAAAGAGGGAGAACGCTGCTTAAGAATGGATTACGGGAATGAAATCGGAGAACTGATGTTTCGCAGTCGGAGTATCCTGCGGCGTCAACTTTGCGAGGGGCGCATGCGTCGCGATTAAAAATAAAGACGGTGCCGTTTAGAGAAAAAGGTAGAAATATGAGACACCCATTATAGAGACATTGCAATTGTATCCCTCTAAGAATTATCTTTTTCGCAGTTTAGAAATACTTTTTTACCTCACATCGCAAAGGTTCCTTTAATTTGTCACATAAATCAAAGCATTTTCTAAATGAAATAATTTTCGTTAGGTATGTAAAAACGCGTTGTAACAAATGATTCTTATATGCCGACTTCTCCCTCAAACTGCCCTGGCTGTCGTTATTCCGAGCGATTGAGTGCAGTTGTTAGCAATTGGTAATTCAGTGCAATCGTCAGACGCAGAAGACACGAGGGGAAAGACGAGGAAAATGTTAGAACCGCAAAATGTATGAACGTCACAAATCACGGTCGCTGAAAACTTGAATACATATTTAAGAAACACGTCTAATCAAATAAGATAAAAATAGTTCGGTTACGTTCTAACTTGGTGTCGTAAAATACGTCTGGTCGTTGCAACGGACATTACGTATTTATCGTAGGAGGCTCTACAATCCTTCGTAGGGATACGAGAAGCCCTTGCTCAGATATACCAGATCCATTATTACGTTACGCGGAAGAATCACCTGTCGGCCTACCTGTTAGTCGAGCTAACACGCGTGAAACTCATTGTAATGCATAAGGGGCGCACCGGCTAACCCTTTATGCTAATAGCGTCGAGGTGGATGTTACGCCGGAGTGATTTTTATCATGCATTTTAAAGGCCATTTGCTTAATGAGCCGCGGAACATGCGCGTTTAGAATACCACTTGCGCTCGAAAACGATCGCTATATAATAGAAAAATACCGTCAATTCTCTCTTCCATTAGTTCCTCTATACTATCATTAAATTTTCCTCGTTTACACATAATATTATATTACGATACAACGCGTAATTATCGCGTTAATAGCGGCTCTAGCGTATTTCATGTATACATTTGAATATAATACGTATTTAAGTTTATACGTGTACATATTTAATGTCTGATTTCATATATACAGAGTGTCTCAAAATTTCCTTTAAAGGACGGATTCTCTGGCTAATTTGGAGACGATTTTTCCTCGAAAATGTCGAGGGACATCATCATTTTTTCCAAGCTTCTAATTTATGCCATTTTTGATATATCTTTGTCAGCCTTAAATTAAAATTTTATTAAAATAAACTCCACTTAAAATTAATTAAATGCAATTGTGTTAATCTTTTAACTCTCCATAAAGTTTAGTTTACAAAAAGCCCTTCTTTTTCAATTGCTTATAACTCGAAAATTATTAATGTCTCAATATTTTCATTGAGGAAAATCGTTTTCAAATTTATGAAACAAAAAATCCGCGCTTAAAAGGAAATCTGGAGGTTTTGGCACACCCTGCATATATTTATTAAGATAGCGAGATTTTTTTGAAAAGATGCAATTATTATTCTAGATAAATATTTTTTAAATTTATATCGTCTCTCATGTTGCGTAATAAATTTGACGGCGAACTTTACTATAAGTTGGGGAGACGTAGCGACTTTTCGAAACGAAAAATTTTCTTCCATGATATTCGGCCGTAATTTCGGTTATTACAGTTATACTTCGGTATATACCGGCTCGTGGGCTTCTTGCGGAATCCATAATAACCGATCCCCGCCGCAAACAATAGAAAAATTATGTTCACGAGAGTTTTGCAGTTCCAGAGTTCCGCAATCTTTCCCCCGTAGTTTCATACCGGAGCGTGTCGAGAGTCTGCCGTTTATTCCGGACACATGATGAGCGGTTGCGCGGGTATATGCTAGGTGACCAATGTATACATACATATCTGTGTGCTTAACTAGTTGTATGTATGTGTGTGTGTGTGTGTGTGTGTATGTGTGTAGTGCGCGCATGGGCTGCAAAAATATATCTCGAACTTACGCCCGGTAACTTTCTCGATTTAGAAATGATTTGCGAGCATTGAGAAGAAGCTGCAATTTCTCTTGTCCCGGAAGCACAGGATGGCGGCGTTCGTTGCTCGCGCTTATTAGCTTTTTATTTCGACGACGTTTTTGCATTTTATCGACAGCTTCTTGAACAAACGCGCGAAAACATTCCGGTTATTACGTTTCTTACAGAAAAATCTCATTCAATTAATTAATCCATTTTACCTTATTGTTAGCGTAAGTAATTTTTATGATAAAACTAAAAATACGGGGAATATAACACACATAAGTCGTGATACAAGTTTGATAATTATTTTATTTCTCTCTGAATATTTTTTTATTGCATACTTTACGATTTATTATGAAACAAATCAGTTTGTGCTAAATTAAATCTCAGAGAATTATGAGTATTGAATCTATATTAGATCGATGAAACAGGCTGGTTGAGTAATTTTCTACCGCCTAATAATACGGGGACATTTTTAGACCTATCTCGCGGACGCACATGTACACGGGCCGAATAGTGTGCAGCTACGTCATAAAGAGGCCCACAGCATCCCTATCGTAACTGGAGTTGGTGCGATCTTGCGCGCCCCTTCGAACGAGGAGGTTTCTTTTAATTAAACTGCCCCCACCTTCTTCCACCTAGTTATCCCGCCTTTTCCAGCAAAAACGGGATTCTCGAGAGACATAACAACCGGCAGGCACGCGTTATCAGTGCCCACCAGCGATCCGAGCACTTTCCACCCCTCCTCAGACAGCAGATCCGACTCCGGCTTTGTTAAAACTCACTCTCGCGCTGTTAACGATGACACTTCCTATTGCCAAGTTGTAACGCAATATCGTAATATGCTTGAAATAGTTGAAGAAGATGGTTATAAGGACTTTAAAAAAATAAGTCGCCTACGATCTTTCATCGCAACGTTTTATATTGGATTTTAAATATTCTCTTGTAATGGAATATATATAATGGAAATTACATATCTCGAAGCGCAATTTATAAAAATTCCAAGATTTTCGTGCAGTTACAACTTGGGAAATGTGATACAATTTCATGATTTTATCGGTGCACGTTTGATTAGAATATCTTTATTCATCTATTAAGTCAGGCATGAGCGAAGCCGTGACTCACGTTTCTGGGCGGAAATAAAAGGGATCAAACACGACGGTATAGATGAGGACAAAGTTACGAAGCTGGTGTCATGTTGCACGCTCATAATCCCGAACAACGTTTCGCCGCACCTTTGTACCTTTTCGTTCTCTCTCTCTCTCTCTCTCTCTCTCTCTCTCTCTATCGCAAATTACTTATAATATCTGTCAGCGGACAGATACGGCCGATGGCGCCTTTACCATTGCGCTGCAGCAATCCCTCGGAGAAATGCCCTCTTTATTATCTATCAGAAGCAATCTACCGA